AAATATATTAATTCAGGAAAACTTGGCTTATTAGGCAAATCGGGCCTTGAATAGTAGGCCAAAAAGTGAGTTCTGGCTACTAGGTACGACATATATATATATATATATATATATATATATATATATATATATATATATATATATATATATATATATATATATGTCGTACCTAGTAGCCAGAACTCACTTCTCAGCCTACTATGCAAGGCCCGATTTGCCTAATAAGCCTAGTTTTCATGAATTAATGTTTTTTCGACTACCTAACCTACCTAACCTAACCTAACCTAACGTTTTCGGCTACCTAACCTAACCTAACCTATAAAGATAGGTTAGGTTAGGTTAGGTAGGGTTGGTTAGGTTCGGTCATATATCTACGTTAATTTTAACTCCAATAAAAATGAATTGACCTCATACATAATGAAATGGGTAGCTTTATCATTTCATAAGAAAAAAATTAGAGAAAATATATTATTTCAGTAAAACTTGGCTTATTAGGCAAATCGGGCCTTGCATAGTAGGCTGAGAAGTGAGTTCTGGCTACTAGGTACGACATATATATATATATATGTCGTACCTAGTAGCCAGAACTCACTTTTCAGCCTACAATGCAAGGCCCGATTTACCTAATAAGCCAAGTTTTCATGAATTAATATATTTTCTCTAAATTTTGTCTTATGAAATGATAAAGCAACCCATTTCATTATGTAAGAGGTCAATTTTTTTTTATTGGAGTTAAAATTAACGTAGATATATGACCGAACCTAACCAACCCTACCTAACCTAACCTAACCTATCTTTATAGGTTAGGTTAGGTTAGGTAGCCGAAAAAGTTAGGTTAGGTTAGGTTAGGTAGGTTAGGTAGTCGAAAAGCAATTAATTCATGAAAACTTGGCTTATTAGGCAAATTGGGCCTTGCATAGTAGGCTCAGAAGTGAGTTCTGGCTACTAGGTACGACATATATATATATATATATATATATATGAAATGTATAAATACTACAATTATATTATATTAAGAACATAAATTATTTATTTAGTTATGTTAGTTTAGGTTAGGTTAAGATAGGTTAGGTTAGGTTAGGTAGGGTTGGTTAGGTTAGATATATATATATATATATATATATATATATATATATATATATATATATATATATATATATATATATATATATATGTCGTACCTAGTAGCCAGAACGCACTTCTCAGCCTACAATTCAGGGCCCGATTTGCCTAATAAGCCAAGTTTTCCTGAATTAATATATTTTCTCAAATTTTGTTCTTATGAAATGATAAAGCTACCCATTTCATTATGTATGAAGTCAATTTATTTTTATTGGAGTTAAAATTAACGTAGATATATGACCGAACCTAACCAACCCTACCTAACCTAACCTAACCTATCTTTATGGGTTAGGTTAGGTTAGGTAGCCGAAAAAGTTAGGTTAGGTTAGGTTAGGTAGGTTAGGTAGTCGAAAAACAATTAATTCATGAAAACTTGGCTTATTAGGCAAATCAGGCCTTGCATAGTAGGCTGAGAAGTGCGTTCTGGCTACTAGGTACGACATATATATATATATGTCGTACCTAGTAGCCACAACGCACTTCTCGGCCTACTATGCAAGGCCCGATTTGCCTAATAAGCCAAGTTTTCCTGAAATAATATATTTTCTCTAATTTTTTTCTTATGAAATGATAAAGCTACCCATTTCATTATGTATGAGGTCCATTTTTTTTATTGGAGTTAAAATTAACGTAGATATATGACCGAACCTAACCAACCCTACCTAACCTAACCTAACCTATCTTTATAGGTTAGGTTAGGTTAGGTAACCAAAAAAGGTAGGTTTGGTTAGGATAGGTAGGTTAGGTAGTCGAAAAACAACTAATTCATGAAAACTTGGCTTATTAGGCAAATCGGGCCTTGCATAGTAGGCTGAGAAGTGCGTTCTGGCTACTAGGTACGACATATATATATATATATATATATATATATATATATATATATATATATATATATATATATATATATATATATATATATATATATTATATATATATATATATATATATATATAATATATAATATATATATAAAATATATATATATTTAATATATATATATAAAATATATATATAAGCAAAAATTAACTCATATTTATTGAAATAGATAGCCTTATAATTTCATAAGAACTAATATTGAAAAATATATAAATTAAGGAAAACTTAGCTTGTTAGGCAAATCGGGCCTTGCATAGCAGGCCGAGTACGACGTTCTGGCTACTAGGTACAACATACATACATATATATATATATATATATATATATATATATATATATATATATATATATATATATTATATATATATATATATATATATATATATATATATATATATATATATATATATATATATATATATGTATGTTGTACCTAGTAGCCAGAACGTCGTACTCGGCCTGCTATGCAAGGCCCGATTTGCCTAACAAGCTAAGTTTTCCTTAATTTATATATTTTTCAATATTAGTTCTTATGAAATTATAAGGCTATCTATTTCAATAAATATGAGTTAATTTTTGCTTATATATATATTTTATATATATATATTAAATATATATATATTTTATATATATATTATATATTATATATATATATATATATATATATATATATATATATATATATATATATATATATATATATATATATATATATATATATATATATATATATATATATATATATATATATATATATATATATATATATATAATATATATATATATATATATATATATATATATATATATATATATATATATATATATATATATATATATATATATATATATATATATATATATATATATATATATATATATATATATGTATGTTGTACCTAGTAGCCAGAACGTCGTACTCAGCCTGCTATGCAAGGCCCGATTTGCCTAAGAAGCTAAGTTTTCCTTAATTTATATATTTTTCAATATTAGTTCTTATGAAATTATAAGGCTATCTATTTCAATAAATATGAATTAATTTTTGCTTCAATGTATCTAAGAGCTCCTCGGGTTGTGAGTCCAGAATTCTAAGCTGAAGAGTTTAAGAATATTGATTCTATTGGTCTCAAGCTTTGTTATCCACTGAGTTTTTTGGAAGTTTGCCGTAGCAAAGCACGTCGTACATATTATAATCATTTATGCAGTGAAAAAATTATTTCCCTGGGTTTGAAAATATGGTCAAGGCAATGAAACTTTTTCGTATACATGTATTGTTCTGCTACGAAAATACTGTTGGAAAACTATTAGTTAGAAACAGCCCTCGTAGTGATAATTGTGTCTTTTATAAAATACCTTGTAAAGACTGTAATAGGACAAACATCCAAAATTTTGAAATTTAGAATTTCCCGACATAAAAACTTAGTAAGACATGGCCAATTGTTTAATGCTTAGTGTGTTCATTTGTCAGTAAATGCTCACCAAATTGATTGGGAGATGGCTTCTTCAGGAACAAATTGTAAGCTCACCTATAACAGGAACATAATTGAATCTGTTTTAATACAGATTACAAAAGAATGTAACTTCAACATTATCAGTGGTTTATATAACTTAGATTCATTTTTGATAGATCAATTAAAGGGCGACTTGAATAGGATCATTGAGACACAATTGTCTCACTAATTCATTGTAAATATTTACTATCTTATGCAATTATTATCCATGTGTCGGCCTATTGGTGGGTATAAATAGGAACTGCCTCGTATGGGCCTATAGGCCTTTTGCATTTCTTATGCGGCTCTTATTTGTATCCACCTAATTCCTATTCATTTTTCATTGCACCTCACCTCTCTCACCTGCCTACATAAGTCCAGTACTAAGCTTGTAAATTATTCCTTCTGAAGATGTAATAATAAACGAAAGTAGTTAAGGAAATTCCTGTTTCAATTCTTCCTCCGGGGACTGACATTGTCACATCTTTCATGAGGTATATATATATATATATATATATATATATATATATATATATATATATATATATATATATATATATATATATATATATATATATATATATATATATATATATATATATTTATATATATACATATATCTTAGTTTATAAGAACGACAATGCAAGAGAGAATTCATACTCATACAAGTTAATAATGTTTAATGGTATGATCAATTTTTACACTCACGTCTGACTGATTCTAAAGAATATGTATGCAGTATATTTATTTCATATTGACAAAACTGACTTACCAGCCAAACAAAGGAATTCAGTGTTAGGCTTGAATATTTATGAACACAGTAAATGTGTGTTTCATAAATATTCCTAATGCTGACATAATGATTCAAAATATAACTGTAAACATCAGTGACATAAATCAGTAGATCGTAGCTATGTATAAAACGACGGAATTAAAAACAAATGAGACGTAAATTCAACAGTCAATAGGTAAAATATCAGGATAATTATATCTAAACAAATATATTGACAATTAGATTAATGTTTGGGATGGCGACATACTCCATCTTGTCGGTATAGTAAATGGGGTGAATATGAAAACTGTACAATCCCTGAATTAGTTTCAATTGTTTCATTGGGTGATTGACACTCTTGTGGTTGATGGGACGAGTGTAATCGATCAAGCACGCCTGCGATTGATGACACACCTATTATTGACTGACACAACAACGATTGATCAAAACTTTTGATTGACCGATACAATTATGAGTTAACATCACACATGTGATTGATCAATAAGCTTATGACTGATTACCTGATCCGTGACTTTCATAAATACTAGTTGGTTACACGTTTTAATATATAACATAACTTTATTCTTCCGTACTTTATTATGTGAATTGGTAAACAGATTAATATCGAAGCAATATTCGTCCAATATTTTATTATTATAAACTACAGGAAACTTACGCACGAAGAGAGCAACAAGCCATCTCCGTCCTTGAGAAACCGTCCAATCTCCGTCTCGCGAGAGGTATATAAGACCGCGCTGCCTCCAACTCCACACAGTCCTCCCAGACACAATATAGCCATGAAGACCCTGGTGAGTTATTTTTGACTCAACACTTACGCTAAAACACGTACTATATTTACCTGTTAGTATGCAAGTTGAGAATATATTATTCGTTTTTTGCTAATTCATAGAAGCAAACGTTATTTATATGGAACTTTAATATTTTATGAATAATTTCGACCTCTTTGTCCATAGAGTATTTTCATACATTATTTACTAAAAAATATTCTTCATATTATTTTTTTATACCTATTTAAATATTTGCCAATACAAGTGAATTAACTATCTGTAATAGTTCCCTGCTGCTTGAGACAAGTGTTCAAATGGAATAGAGTTCAAAACCTCAAGTTCTGAAAAATTACCTTGTTTCCCGTTTGTATATTAAGTAGAATGATATCTTAGATTTATAGAATAATATCCTCAACATTACTTAAAATGCTTTTTTCTTAAAACAATTCAAACATTTTTCGGTATTATGCCACAAATTTGTTCACAATGCGTGAACCACTCATCTGGATATTTCAATCCATCCTCCTGTTTAGAAAGAAGTTTTTGCAACTAGGTGCACCATAGTACAAAGATTGACGTAATCTGCTATTTGATAAGAATTTTATACTATTCACTTTATAAAGTCCAAACCAAATTCTAAAAAAAACATAAGTAAATATTCCTATGTATGATAAATCTTCTGTTATATTATCATATGAAAACTCCAGAGAATTTCATCCCTGTGTTCATCCACCAGATCGTTGTAGCATTCCTGGCTGCCATGTGCTTGGTGGCCACAAACGCTGAGCCTTCCCCAGATGCCGAACCCGGTCACTTCAGGGGAGGTTTCGGAGGATTTCGAGGAGGCATCGGTGGGGGCTCCCATGGAAGTGGCTTCGGGGGAGGATATGGAGGATATCGAGGAAGGAGGAGTGCCGAAGCCAACCCTGAGCCCGTTGCAGACCCTGAAGCCGATCCCGGTTACCTAGGTAGTAGAGGCTTCGGCGGTGGTAGAGGTTTCGGCGGTGGCAGAGGTTTCAGTGGTGGCTTCGGAGGAGGACGTGGGGGATTTGGAGGAAATAGATATTACGGCTAATTTCCGGCTATCTAATCTGCCATGGTTCTTATGACTGCAGTTAATATCTAAATTGAAAAATACTAAATATATATATCAGTATATAAGATGAACTTCCTTATCCCTTAATCAAATTAATATGGATTGAAGAAATTTCCCGTACTTAACATTTTTATTACAGTAATATTGTGGTCTATTTAAACTATCATTTTTAGTACACACACAAGAGAGATTCCAAAGTTGATATGACAGTGCTCCGTTACCAACATTAGTGAATTAAGTGTTGAGGCGGGAAAAAATAGCTGAAACTCAACTTTCGCAAGCACAGATTGGTGAGTCCTCAGACACAGGACAGAGCTGACATCGCTCATTCATTGTACTAAGAGCGAAGGTTCAATTCCCTGGCGAGGCAAAAACAAATTGAAAGCATTTCTTTCACGGGAAATCACTGTTTACCTATAAGTGAAGAGGTACCTGGGAATTAAACAGCTGCTGCGGGCTGCATCCTTTAGATGTACTCACCTATTTGTGCTTGCGGGGGTTGAGCTCTGGCTCTTTGGTCTCGCCTCTCAGCCGTCAATCAACTGGTGTACAGGTTCCTGAGCCTATTGGGCTCTATCATATCTACACATGAAACTGTGTATGGAGTCAGCCTGCACCACATCACTTCCTAATGCATTTCATTTGTCAACTACTCTGACACTAAAAAAAATTCTTTCTAATATCTCTGTGGCTCATTTGGGTACTCAGTTTTCACCTTGTGTCCCCCTTAGTGCGTGTGCTCCTTGTGTTAAATAGCCCGTCCTTATCTACCCTGTCAATTCCTCTGAGAATCTTGTACGTGCTGATCATATCCCCCCTAACTCTTATGTCTTCTTGCAACGTGAGGTTTAATTCCCGTAGTCTCTACTCATAGCTCATACCTGTCAGTTCGGGGACTAGTCTGGTGGCAAACCTTTGAACTTTTTCCAGTTTGGTCTTATGCTTGACTAGATATGGACTCCATGCCGGGGCTGCATATTCCAGGATTGGTCTGACATAGGTGGTATACAAAGTTCTGAATGATTCTCCTAAATTCCTTGCATTGAGACACAAGTGTCGAAATGCCGTTCTTATATTAGCCAACCTGGCATGTGCTGCTGATGTTATCCTCTTGATATGGGTTTCAGGGGACAGGTCTGGCGTGATATCAACCCCCAGGTCTTTCTCTCTTTCTCTGACTCGTGTAGAATTTCATCTCCCAAATGATACCTTGTAACTGGCCTCCTGCTCCCTACACCTATCTTCAATACATTACATTTGCTTGGGATAAACTCTAACAACCATTTGTTCGACCATTCCTTTAGTTTGTCTAGGTCTTCTTGAAGCCTCAAGCAGTCCTCCTCTGTCATAATCCTTCTCATAATTTTGGCATCGTCAGCAAACATTGAGAGGAATGAGTCTATACCCTCCGGGAGATCGTTCACGTATATCAAAAACAGGATAGGACCGAGTACAGAGCCCTGTGGGGCTCCACTGGTGACTTCACCCAATCTGAGGTTTCACCCCCCACTGTAACTCTTTGCTTCCTATTGCTTAGGTATTCCCTTATTCACTGGAGCACCTTACCAGTTACTCCTGCCTGTCTTTCCAGCTTATGTACCAGCCTCTTATAGGGGACTGTATCAAAGGCTTTCCGACAGTCCAAAAAAATGCGGTCTGCCCAGCCTTATCTTTCATGCTTAATCTTTGTCACCTGATCGTAGAATTCTATTATGACAGTGTGCTACTTAATGACGCGCGCGCGCATGTGTGTGTGTGTACTCACCTCACCTATTTGTGCTTGCGAGAATTGTGCTCTGGCTCTTTGCTTCGTGTGTGTGTGTGTGCGTGTGTACTCACCTAATTGTGCTTGCGGGGGTTGAGCTTTGGCTCTTTGGTCCCGCCTCTCAACTGTCAATCAACTGGTGTACAGATTCCTGAGCCTACTGGGTTCTATCATATCTACATTTGAAACTGTGTATGGAGTCAGCCTCCACCACATCACTTCCTAGTGCATTCCATTTATTAACTACTCTGACACTGAAAAAATTCATTCTAACGTCTCTGTGGCTCATCTGGGTACTAAGTTTCCACCTGTGTCCCCTTGTTCGTGTCCCACCCGTGCTGAAGAGTGTGTGTGTGTGTGCGTGTGTGTGTGTGTGTGTGTTTGAGAGAATTATATGTAGTAGATATGGGAAAAATAGTTCATGAATCAGTAAATTAGACAACCTACGATTAGAAACGCGAGGACCAAGAGATATAACAGCTCAGTCCTGGAGATACCACTACTAAATTCACACATACACACCTAATCTTCTTTGGTTACCATCTCATCTTGGAAGTCCCGAGAATTGAGATCTTTAATGCAGTGCAAACTGGAAAAAAAATGATAACTGCTCAGAAACCCAAGAATTTACATTTTTGGGGGGAATAAAAGTAAGCATTATTTGTTAACTAGCTTCAAAATATGTGTCAATAGATTATACCAATATATATGAATGTCAGTTCGTCTATCTCTCTTTCCGAAATTGGATACCAGAACTCGTAACTGATTATTTACAGTAATTGCCTGTGGGAATTTGGGAATTTGCCAAACATTTGATTGTTTGACACTGCATTATATATATATATATATATATATATATATATATATATATATATATATATATATATATATATATATATATATATATATATATATATATATATATATATATATATATATATATATATATATATATATATATATATATATATATATATATATATATATATATATATATATATATATCTTGAAGAACTCTGTAGGGTAAGGCAGGTCCTAGTCAATAACGGCTTCTCCAATGGTTTCGTCGAAGACATCATAAGAAGGAAAGTGAAAAGCCATGCAACCTCTGCAGAGACAACTAACACAACACCTATACCCCCTATTAGACTATTTTACAGGAACTTCTTTTCCACAGCTCATAAAACGGAGGAAAGGGTCCTGAAAGATATTGTTAATAGAAACGTTATCCCTACAGACAAAAATCAGAGGATACAACTGACGATTTACTATAAAACCATAAAAACGGCCAGCCTACTCATGAGAAACTCTCCAGACACAAAACAGAACGCTTTAAAAGAGACTAACGTCGTCTATGCCTTCAAATGCCCACTTGGGGACTGTAAGCTCCAAAAAACCCAGTATATAGGCAAGACAACAACATCTCTTTCTAGGCGTTTAACGATGCATAAGCATCAGGGCTCCATTAAGGAACATATAATCTCTTCCCACAACCAAACCATCGCCAGAGAAATCCTAGTAAACAACACAGAAATCATCGATAGATACAGCGATAGCAGGCGGCTTGACGTTTGCGAGGCACTACACATCAAGAAGTCAACACCAGCAATCAACAGCCAATTATTGCACAACTATATTCTACCCACCTCAAGACTCCGCTCCAATATAGAAGCATCAAGAAATATGGACCAATAGGCTTTCTACAAACACTTCTATTCAATATCCATTGCTTCGTGTTCTGTCTTGTGTTGATGAAATTAATACCCTATTAATACTCTTGTTCTGTCTTGTGTTGATGAAATTAATACCCTATTAATACCACATTTTGTTCTGTCTTGTGTTAATGCCACATCACCCCTTCCACCTCACTCAAATGTAGATATAAAATCGGAGATACGTAATTTCTATTCAGTTGTGTATTTGTGAACTAAAGTCTTTGAAAATGTAATAAGTTTTACAAAACGCGCCCGTGTCGCGTCAGACTAAAAAATAAAAATGAATTTTGGAGAATTGATTTTTGATTTACCTCCAACAGTGAAGCGTAATGTACGAAAGATTGAGAAAATTCGTGTTAGAATTATTAATCTTACTTTTTCGGTCATATTTAATAATATATGTCTACAGGAAAGATTGCTACCAAAATATACTAATATATATATATATATATATATATATATATATATATATATATATATATATATATATATATATATATATATATAGGTAGGGTTGGTTAGGTTCGGTCATATATCTACGTTAATTTTTACTCCAATAAAAAAAAATTGACCTCTTACATAATGAAATGGGTTGCTTTATCATTTCATAAGAAAAATTTAGAGTAAATATATTAATTCATGAAAACTTGGCTTATTAGGCAAATCGGGCCTTGCATTGTAGGCTGAAAAGTGAGTTCTGGCTACTAGGTACGACATATATATATATATATATATATATATATATATATATATATATATATATATATATATATATATATATATATATATATATATATATATATATATATATAGACATATAATAATTAATATATTATTATATAGACATATATTATTAAATATGACCGAAAAAGTAAGATTAATAATTCTAACACGAATTTTCTCGATCTTTCTTACGTTTCTTTTCACTGTTGATGGTAATTCAAAGATCAATTCTCAAAATTCATTTTTATTTCTAGTCTGGCGCGACACTTGAACGCGTTTCGTAATAACTTATTACATTTTCAAAGACTTTAGCTTACACACACACAACTATAACCTTCAAACACTTAACAGAGTTTAAACAGCTTTCATTTTATACCTGCATTTGGGTGAGGTGATATGTAACATCAGTTTTGGATGAGGTGAAAACAAACTTTCAACACAAGACAGAACACGAAACAATGGGTATAATATTGGGTAAGTTAAAGGGAAGAATGGAAGTAACTGCAAAGGGCCTATTGGCCCGTATTTCTTGATGCTTCTGTATTGGTGCGGAGTCTTGAAGTGGGTAGAATATAGTTATGCATTAATTGGCTGTTGATTGAAGGTGTTGACTTCTTGATGTGTAGTGCCTCGCAGATGTCAAGCCGCCTACTATTGCTGTATCTATCGATGATTTCTGTGTTGTTTGTTAAGACTTCTCTGGTGATGGTCTGGTTGTGAAAAGAGATTATATGTTCCTTAATGGAGCCCTGTTGCTTATGCATCGTTAATCGCCTGGAAAGAGATGTTGTTGTCTTGCCTATATACTGAGTTCTTTGAGGCTTACAGTCCCCAAGTGGGCATTTGAAGGTATAGACGACGC